GAATAAACGTGCTCAGTCTTTCAGGAGCTATCTGAAATAATTCTATCAATAAGTCCCCCTTTTCTATAGAATTCCTCTTAAAATTGCATGCTAATTTTTGTGGTGCAATTTGCGTCCATTAATGCGATAAACCGATGTTAAGGTATCGGGAGAATTTTCACAAGTATGAGTATTCATAAAAATACTCAGTATCGGCATCGATATCGGTATCAGTGCATCTCTAATAATTATGTATTTATAATAATAATTAATGATTGTTCATAACTGACTGTCTTGGCAATTATCGTCAGGACAGGAAGTTAGGGGAAATCTCCAACAGGATACACAAACCAATAAAAATGAAAAAGTTTTGGTTATATTCCCAGTTTGTATTGCAAAACTTAGTACAAAAAAAAATCTACTTTATGCTACTGTATGTTTTCATCTTTTTCTGCTTCAAATACGGATATGTGCACTTGCTCCTTTTTTCTGTCTTATGTAATTAAAATACAAGGCATTGGAAGGAGGCCTAGTGCTATAAAGCTGTGAAAAGCATTGAAGCATACTTCTGAATGGCCTTTTAAAAGTTATAATGACACGCATTCTGCAAGCAAACCGTCGCTCTGCAACTAGGTGGTTCTAAATAAAGAACTCTAGTCAACAACAGGAAGTAACTCCCACAGAAAAAAAAAGGGCAGAATACAAACTCTCACCAAATCTTGTACACAGCTCACAACGAGCTTTTGTTCTGCATTCTCCTCCTCAAAGCCTTTTTGCCTTGGGTCTTCGTTGTTTTAAGATGTACACACTACATGGAAAAAAAAAAGTTTTCCTTTCTCCGGCACACATGGCCGTAAGATCAAAGTACGTTAGCTCAAGTTTGTTCGTTGCTTGGACAGATTCTGCATTGTGTTGTAAAACTGCTTGATCATTTTATTATTAGGCTGACTTAACACAGTGCAGGGAGAAGTACTGTGGAGCAAGTATTCGGATAATATTTTTACAAAACTTTTGTGAGCCAAGAAATGAAGGCTGAATTCTGATTGGTTCTCAATGTACTGCACATGATTTCTTGAAATGTATTTCCACTTTTGCAGCCAAATTGGGATAACACCTACATTATATTTGTTACATGTTCCCATTTCCATAGCAAAACTTAAAGTGGAAGTAAACTCCCACTGGACACTTGAACCTACAGGTAAGCCAAATACATGCTGGTAGGTTAATTGGATCCTGGTCCTAGTATGTGTATGTATGAATGTGAGTTAAGGACCTTAGATTGTACGCCCCTTGAGGGTTAGGGACTGATGGGAATATACAATATTTATATGTAAATATGTAAAGCGTTGCATAAATCGACGCCATTATATAAGTACCTGAAATAAATAAATAATCAAGCCTACCTGTAGGTACAAGAACATCTCCTAAGCGTGCACTGTTTAGGAGATATTCAGTGTCCCTGCAGCCAATGGCTTCACCAGCACACGCGCTCTGCAGGAACGGCGCACCCATGCCGTTCCATCAGAGCTGTGTGGTGCAGCCGAGACTCCTGTGTGCATGCACAGGAGTGATGTCATTGCAGCTCGGCCAATCAAGCCGCCAGAGCCCAGGAATCCGGAAGGAAGACCGGGTGAAGATGGAAGCACTGTCAGTGGTTACAGTGTGCCACTGGAGGGCTTCGTTCTAAGGTAAGCCTTTCATAATGTGCTAGTATACATTACATACTAACACATTATGCTATTATTTTGCAGGGGAGATTTTTTTTGGGTGGTTTACTATCACTTTAAAGCCCCTCTGAAGACTAAAACTTTATTCACTAATGCTTCATCCCACCCACCTCTAACCTATGGTACTAAGCATGTTTTGCCTCCTTACCTTGTGAAGGTAGATATACTTACCTAAGTCCCCCCTTCAGGTCCCTGACTACCAAGGACTGCCGATCCAGCGCTGAAATGCACCCTCTGAGGTTATCTGTGATGACATCATCATTTTCTGGATCCTGCTAGCACCCAGCCAGTGGTCATGCCATAGAAAGTGTCTATGTCATGCAGGCACTGATGTGGACACTCGAAGAAGGAAGTAAAGTGAAGAGGAGAAGGCTTAGGACTGCAGTGTCATGTGACATTTAAGCAATGCTTAGCCTTTCTTTTGGGACAGACGCACTCTGACATAGTTCAGTAATGCTTGTGGTCTGCAATGAGACCTTCTCCTGAGAAACATCTAAGAGTTAAGAAATATATTAGGCATGATGTGTGAATGGAAACACAATACAACCATATAGCAGGGTTTTCTTAAAAACTGCAAACGTGGAAATACGTCATATATAAGCTGTAAGTCTCTTTAACAATGAAACATACCTTGGCCTTAACATATTCCAGGGGTCCTCCAATTTTCCAAACAAGTGGCCAATTCACTGTCCTTCAAAACTTCGGGAGGGCCAGACTGTGACCAGTGGGAGTAGAAAAAATCCCCAAGTGTCAGTGGGAATACAGAATGCTCCTGACACAAGGGTCAGTTTTTGTTTTGTTTTTTTAGGGCTAGTGAGCAGTGGGAGTAAGAAATAGCTTAGCACCTTCATTGGTGCCAACAGGAGAAATAATGCCCCATCACTGATATCAACAGGAGAAATAGTGCCCCATCATTGGTGTCATATAGAGATATACTATTCCATCATTAGTGTCAATGGGAGGAATAGTGTCCAATTGTTGGTGTCAATGGGAGAAATACTGCCTCATCAAAGACACAGAGACACAAATTAAAGCAGTTCTATATTACTTTAAGTGTATCTAAATTATTTTTATTTCATGTTGGATAGAGCAGGGGAAGGTTGACACCCTATTAGTTTATTTTGCCATGTTTGTCCCAATTTTGAGATTTTATTTTACTTCCTGTACTGTAAACACAACAGGGAGTAGGAGCAAACCTCTCCAAAGATCCCCTCCTAGACAGTTGTCACCAAAAGTGTCCCACTAGAAGGTATTACCTTTATTCCTGAAAGAAAAAAAAAGAGCAATGCATGTGTAAACAAGCTCACGAAGAATTTGTACAGTACAAAGCACACACATAAATACTGGAATACGGAATACCCAAACGTAGCAGCAAGTTCGCTATACAAACACATGTAGCCCTCTTTTGGGGGGGGGGGGGGTTATGAGAAGAAATGGCTCTCCCCAAACAGGATATTACACTAAACCTGTAGGTATATAAGAGAACAAGAAGTGGAAGAATGGGATTGTTAATTAAGTTGGCAGTGCCTCCACCCAGGACATGGCCTCTGTGAACAGAGGGGGTTCCTTTCCTGGGAAATTAACCACTTACTTGATCATGTATTAATCATTGGAAGCAGAGGAAGTACTGCAACTGGCATACAACATTAATCATAAACTGCAGATGCACACCAGTGTTGAAAAAAATATGCCACTGTTGCCAGTGTTGCCAATGGCCCGTGTTGATGGGGGAATCTCTGTTGATGGGGAAGCCGTCCTTGCTAGGAGAACACAATGATTATTGCTAACAAACATAACAAATTTGAGCAAAACCGGTCAAGAGGCCTATTTACACACACATCGGTCTCCCAATGAAACCTGCTTTGATGCCTACAGCATGATAATAAGTATTACCAACTCTATCTTGACCTTGTTTCAATGCATTCCACTTTTGATTAACTTCTCGACTATCACATATCTATGATCTGTCTATTTTTCCTATGGAAATGCTGCTCAATTGATGTTTGGGCCAAACTTTTTATATCTATGTATATTGGTGTGAGGGAGGTCACTATTTTCTACACTAACCCTCACCTGAATGGCATCTTCAATTGCTTAGTGCTAGAGGGAGCTGAAGATTTATATATATGTTCAATATATTCAATCCATTTCATCCTCTGGACTACATCAAGTATGGCAACCTGTTTGTGATCATTTAATGGTTGTCCCCAATGAGATATCTATCTGGCTACAATCTCAGTGTAAGAGGGAGGTCACTGTGAATCACACTGATATTTGATATCTGAATCTAATATGCTGAGCATTTATGGTCAAGTTAAGAAGTTTTCATGCTAAATGTTTTAATAGATAGCATTCATTTGTACCCTTTGAGGGGGAACAAGTGAGACCTATGGAATGTGGTTTGTTTTTAATACATGTGTTTGTCTAATTAAAGGAGTTGTTCATGTACTTTGACTACCAGCCCTTTAATTTAAATAACAATAGTACCAAAAAAACACAAATCTTGGTTGGGTCTATAACTAATCTTTTTTCTTTGTTTTCTTATCTGGATTTTGGATTAGGGACTCCCAGATTACTGAGTATCATAGACCTCGAGGCAATTTTGAAAGTTTTGATTTGAATGATTATTGCTAGTGGCTATGGTCTCTAGCAATAATCGCATGCTACAAATCCAGCATGCTGGTTGAACCCAAGTTGATTGATGGATTGACTTGGGTACAATCAGCCTGCCCATAGATGGATCTGATCTCGGCTGAACCAGCTGAGATTTGAACCATCCATGGCCAGTTTAAAGCTGGGTACAAACATTCATTTTTTTTTAATCAACCAGTGGGTTGAATGAAAATTAACTGACATATACTGATGCAGGGATCTCTCCTGCTGTGTATTCTAACAAGAGGTCCCCCCCCCCCCCAGCCCAGAATACACTGATTAGTGCTTGCAGCCTGAAGGGTACAAGTACTGATCCAATTCTGGTTTTCCAGCAACACTGTTCAAAAGGAGCCAGTTGTTAGACAGTGGTATACATGTACTGCAAGTCGGCTGGTTTCTGCTGAACTGGCCGACTTTCGGTATGTTTTTTTTTCTGGGCTTTAGAATCAGTGAAGTACTTTGTATAACATGATAAACATATATTAACACTGCTATCTGTTGTCTATGGGTAACTTAGCATATACACTATATAGCCTAAAGTTTGTGTTTCCAGTAAAGGGTATGCTAAAGCATGCAAACATATTTTAGACAACTGTGCAAATCCAGCCCTGTGACAACAGTTCCAGAAGGTCCTTTTATGTTCCAGCCAGGGGCTGACTGACCATTTGGAAACTCGGGCACTGCCTGAGGGCCTGGGGTCAGTAGGGGGCCCCATGAGATGCCCCTGGTACCTTTTTCATAGTTTTTTAAGTTTGGGCAAGGACACAGGGGCCCATGATCCCCTATTGCCCGGGGGGCCCCATGAGTTGTCATTCTGCCCCTGGTTCCAGCATGACTGTTCCACTGTGCACAAAGCTAGGTCCATAAAGACATGGTTTGATGACATGGTGTGGAAGAACTCAACGGACCTGAGCAAAGACATATAAGAAAGGGAGCAGCGCTAAAATAAACTAATAAACATACAAATATTAATAATGACAATGTGCCAAGAACTGTGCATGTGAAGCAAAAAAGTCCTCAAAAAATCGATGGTGACTTAAAACACGTGCGTCTTCCGGTGATCAGAGTAGTAAAATTATGCACTCACCAGATGCATAATTCACATATGCATATAGATGGTATCCCGATATCCAAGCGAAGCAAGTCTTAGGCGGATAGGGTCATCATCCGGATACATCAATGCGTCCAAGTTTCTCCTCATGGATCGTGTGTTTCCACACTCGAACACCCCTCAGCTGTCCCTAGGTAACTCTGCAAGTGAAGGACTCAGCAGGGTCCCAAGAAAGAAAGCCAGGATGGTGTGATATCGTTTAAATAAATTTAATGATCCAAAATAAAGACAAGGACTGCATATACAAAATTAACCATATAGGTATAAAAAGATGGCCACCGCTCCATGCGGTGGCGTAATGTCTGGGATATGCTGCTCGAGTGTGGAAACACACGATCCATGAGGAGAAACTTGGACGCATTGATGTATCCGGATGATGACCCTATCCGCCTAAGACTTGCTTCGCTTGGATATCGGGATACCATCTATATGCATATGTGAATTATGCATCTGGTGAGTGCATAATTTTACTACTCTGATCACCGGAAGACGCACGTGTTTTAAGTCACCATCGATTTTTTGAGGACTTTTTTGCTTCACATGCACAGTTCTTGGCACATTGTCATTATTAATATTTGTATGTTTATTAGTTTATTTTAGCGCTGCGCCCTTTCTTATATGTCTTTTTTTTAAGTCTTTTGGTACTTATTGGCGCTTAGCAGCTTTTTTATCTAGCGCTCACTTTCCCTATCCTTTTTGGACCTGAGCAAAGCCCTGACCTCCACCATACAGAAGATTTTGGCATGAAATGGATTGTGAGTAGGATCTTTTCATCTAACATTATTAACTGAAACACTTTACACATGCTCCTTTGGCTAAATGGGAACAAAACCATCTAATTCATACTACACTTCTTATAAATATTGGGCATTATAAACATTTATTTATCTATCTATAATACTCAATATTTTTTTTATAACTATCATAGGAACTAGTTGGTTTTACTAAATATGTATGATGTCTATTCAATATTTATGAGGCTATGCTGTAAAAATCTAGCTTTTTTTAAGTGTTCGGCTGGTGCATGGTAATTTTATCATTACCTTGATATCGGATATTTTACCTGTTCTTGCAAACACAATTTTTTAACTCTTGTATTTACCAGCTGTTCTGATATCCTATTAGTACTAACTATCACTTTCATTATGAACAAGGTTGTAGCATATATCAATGCATAGGATTTTATTTATTCTAGTTCCAATGAAAGGAGCAATTCTGGAAACCCCCCCTCATCCCCCAAAATACATTGGATGTACATACTGACTTGCTGAAATGACTTAGGTGGATTAAATATTTCTGGTCTCTAACATCTTGGTGTGGTGCTTCTGTTCTCCTCATCCCCTTCAGTACCACCCCAAAGTGATTTTGGAAGTACATCTGCACCTAAAAACTGCCTACCCAACATTAAGATGCTGCAAATCAACAATTCTGAATCACCTGTGAATGTAGAACCACCCTGGGTTCTAGCTCCATCTGTCTATTTCTCCAAATATCAGAAATAGGAGCTCCCCTTTGAAGAAAAAAAGCATCCAAGAGGTGCTGGAAGTTCATACAAAGTAGGGAGAGAACAAGAACATTGGTTCACATTTAGGCTGCTCACAGTAGAAGGATAAAAGACTCCAAATTAATTTATTAGTTGATACTAAAAAGCAGTCAATGCGTTTCAGTGGTCAGAAAAAAAAACTGCTCTGAATTGACTCAAAACTCAATCAGGAGAGTTACTGGCCAGCAGTATCTGCATGAGATATTAAGATCTTGATTGCTCACACAGATACTGCTGGTCAGTAACTCTCCTGATCCAGCAATTAGCTTCCATACAAAGATTCACACAGGAAAGCTGTATTATGAGTCCATCCTATCTTAACCAAAGCACTGATGAAAAGGGAGTTATTTTTGACCCCCGCAATGCGTTGCCTGTTTTTTTGGTATGAATTAGTAAATTAATTCAGATTCTTTTAGCCTTCAGTCTGGCACTCCTTCCATTAATGCAGTTTTATTTCTAGAATTATAGGGTCTGTCATAGCTCCTGACGTAAAATGCTAATTACCTGACAGTCATACAGGTCATTTGACTTCATTTGAAGACAGACTACTAGCATTTTCAGAAGGATAAGTCAGCATTGACATGCACCATGTTTCTCCCATGACGGGCTCCCTTCTGACCACCCTGGGAGCTATGGAACCTGGAGCACTCTACTGCTCAATTCCTAAACTTTGCTTATAGAACAGAGCAATGATCAACATCTCATACTTCCTCCATTTAAAAAATGGCTCATTACTCTGTTAGTGCAAATTCAGAATTAACCCTCTGCATACTGCTATACATCCGTACGTATTTCAACCAAACGTTTGCATAAAAACAGGGATTCTTCATGTGCATACATTGCAATACATGTTCAAGCTGGCCAGCTATGCTAAAGTGATCCCTCTCTGGCCAGTCTCTACTCTACTGTGCAAAATACCAAATACTTACTTGCTACAATTCTTTATTGGACATATAGGGGGAGATTTACTAAAACTTGAGAGTGCAAAATCTGGTGCATCTGTGCATGGTAGCCAATCAGCTTCTAACTTCAGCTTGTTCAATTAAGCTTTGGCAATAAAACCTGGAATTGATTTCTATGCAGAGCTGCACTAGATTTACAGTAAATCAGTTTTAGCACCAGTTTTAGTAAATAACCTCCTAAGTGGCAATATGGGGTACATAAATATACATATGATATATATTGGATTTGAGCACAGATATATCTCTATTCTATTTTGTAGTGTCAGTCTGTATCCCACCTCCAATTGTGTCTATCTGCCCCATATAGGTAATATGTGTCCATTTGGCACAGTGGGGTAGATACGGGCCAGAGAGGGATCACTTTCATGCAGTTGGCCAGCTTGAACATGTATTTCAATATATGCAAACCAAAAATCCCAAATATTTGCTAAAATAAGAAAGGGGGTATAGCAGTGTGCAGAGGGCTAATACTAAATTTTTAGTGTTGGCATCACATCCTTTTAGCACCGCATGTGTTATATACATTGGAGCACAGACATTTCTCCATCATTGTAATGGATCACCTCTCTGACTTACTGTTACAGTCAGGGGTCAGGCTCAGAGACCAGTAGCTATAGCAGTATAAAGGCTTCCATCGACCAGCTGGATAAGTACACAAGCAGGTCACCCTGGCAGATGATGTGGGCTCACCACAGATGCTGGGTCTAAACACAAACTGGTATTCACCAGAGCTCGTGATGGCGGAGATGGGTTTTGAGCGGGTTAACAAGATATTAGCTGGAGGAGAAGGGATTCAAGGTTCACCAGAAACAAGGAACAATGCAGGATTGTCCAAAGGATCAGACAGGGTGCTGTTCAGCATCTCTGGTGGCTCATCAAGTAGAGCTACTGCTGGATGCAGCAGAGGTCATGGATTCAGATGCCTGTCCTGACACCTAGGGAAAGGTATAGAATTTAGGAACAGGACAGAAAAAGTTTACAAGCAGAAGCAGATGAAAGTATATATAAGTATCTCTAGGTGCCTTCATATATTCATAACACTACTTTCAGAAGATCACAGGCTTACCCTAATTGTTTAAAGGGAGGTGACATGTCCGTGCCCCTATTGTTGTTGATAGCAACACATTAAATGATGTTGAAGCTTCTGGTGACATCACAATGGAAGAATTATTAAAGATCCATTCCAGCCAAAATGTATTTAGTTTTGGACAGAGAGGAGAAGGAGTCGGGGGTTTTTTTTGTTGCCAGTGTCCCTATTTTGGGGAATTTCTTTTTCTGGTTTTCTATCTTATAAGTGTCGGGCAGAAGATGAAGAGAAATCTCCCCAGTGGAGACACAGACAGTGACAAAACAAAACTCTTAGTAGAGCTGGGAAGGGGTAAAACCTCTGTCATGCTTTTATTGTTTACATCAAACGTTATTGCACAAACTTCTCCCCCAGGCGATGAACATATAGACAGCAGCACCATGTAAATCTAAATGCAGAAAAAGCCAACAGACCAACGTGAAATCCAGATAGATAATTGAGTCTCATATTATAACAAAACACCAATATGGCAAAGGCACGTGGCACTCTTTATGAAGGTAAAAGTAAAGACTCTGCCTATGACCTTAATAAAGAGGGCCCCTTGAAACATTGGTGTTTTGTTCTGATATGGGACATGCATTGTCTATGTGGATTTCAAGTTGTCATGCTGGCTTTTTGTTACAATTAAGTTTTTATTGCTGTCTGTAAACTGGTACAAAAGATTTATCTTTACCTCTTCTCCAGGCGACAGAGAAGATAACAAATGAGGGGAAATATCTTCAAAAGAGACAACATCCAAAACCTGACAGAGGTTCTAGTCTTCCACATTCTATCCAAAGCAAAATAAATCTGTTTGGACTTGGGTTTAAGGTAAGGGTACCAGATTTTCAAAATGAAATTAGGGGACACCCTATTGACTATGCTCCACTTTTATCGGAAATGGGACAGGGCGGAGAACGGGGTAGGATAATAGTTGCATGCAAGTGTGCCACAACAAATGTTGGATGTGGCCAAATTGTGCTAACAGTGGGAGTGGCTTAAAGGGGTGTACCATCTGAGCCTTTCTTGGTCAGACCCCCCCCCCCCCCCCCAAGAGCACCCTGCCCCAATGCCCAGTTAGTGCCTGCTGTTGCATGGAGTTGCGCAGCTCAGCCTCAGCAATCATATCTGTGGAGAATATAGACTAAACGGTAGCAGCAT